ATTATATTTTTTAATCAAGTTTAGTTGATATTCTTCTAATTGTTCTCAATTGCATTGAGTGAAGTAGAATGTTCTGGGAAACACAAGGAACACAGATATTTCAAACAAAGACCACCGCTTCTTCCTCCATAATTCTAAATGCGAAAGTCCCGCAGAAAGTCACGCATCACTTACTAAACACGTGTGCCTGGTTACCAAGCGGTCGAGTGAATGACGGTCGAGTGAAAGTTTAGCGTACAAAAAAAATTCGAGAGTTCGCACTCATTTGAAATCGGGTGTAATACTACTTAGATTTTGTACAGTTGCACGGATTTAAGTGCGATCACTCTACCGCATGCACGATTTACTAAATACAACTAAATAGTACTATTAAGTTTGTAGAGTTGCACGGTTTAATTAAGTTCGATCACTCTGAGAACCTTCCATAAAGTCTATTTTTTTGTTAAGATGTTATTTTCAAGATTAGTGTTATCTTTTCATGTTTTTTAACAATTCCTCTAAGTTTATATACATTGTAGAATTATTCAATACTCAATCTAATACAATAAAAACGGAACGGAACYCTGATATTTTTGTCGTGCGTTTCCGTGTAGACGTACCCACTGGAAAAGATCGCGCGCTTTAAAGGTTGTAAATTTGATGWAAATATGATGTAAGTGTCCAAAATTCTGTAAATTTAATGGAAATCATTTACATCAAATTTACWGAATTTTGGACACTTACATCATATTTACATCAAATTTACAACCTTTAAAGCGCGCGATTTTTTCCAGTGACCTTACGAATCTTTTACGGTGTAATATAAGTGTTTTCCCTAAAGATGTTACAGTATTATTGCCAACGTAACTCACTCTAGTGTTATCACATTGGCATACGCTTTTACGTAACATGAYATAACASAACACCAACGTTAAGTCATTTGCGTAGCAGCGCGAAACGCAAGAATACGTACGATTCTTCGCGTGAWTTACATATTATCATTTATCAAGTCAATATATATTAATCTTGAATTGTAGCTGTAYCCATAATGGATTTTTTGTTTAAACTGCATAATTACGTACACGTAACAAAGGTGCCATCAATTACGTAAATGATCTTTATACGAATCAGTAGCGTCTCGGTCATGCGCAGCGTTGAGTAACAAGCCTTCTGATCTCTAACTGAGAAGTATCAAATCTTAACGGYGCGCTAAGTCACGTGTTATACCACGTGGCAATTCATTGAAATAGCATACATGGCGAAGGCAGGTCTTTTTGAGTTTTTGAGGCACCAAGTCACGTGAGGTGAAGATGTGAAGCGATCTCGTTCTATTCTTTGGACGCCATATCACGTGACAATATTTTCATGCAGTACATACTGCGCATGTCAGATCCCAGTTTTGTTTATAAGGCGGACATGGTAGCGTCCCACACGAGCCCCTCACAGCAGTGAGTAGGGACTTCCAATGAGTCCTCTGTTTACTATCATGGTGTATGATTTGAGCATCAGCGTCWACACAAATGTACTCGGACTTGGTGCTGTTTTGTCCCGACGCCATTAAGTACCCATGATATTCCCTGGTCCATATTTTACCTGGACACACATTCCGAGCAGGGATCATTATTCTTGAGGGTCTTGAGACAGTTTTACAGACAGCGCATGGTATTCCATGGTATTTCATGTTCCTCGGTAACCATGGTACCCTTGTGAAGATGTCGTCTATATTGCCATATTGRACACCGTACAAATTACCACGTTCGTTGTTACTGGATCCTGGTCTTGCGTAAAGAGGATTAGAAGGCATACACAGGTAGTTCGAKCCYCTACCTGACTCGACKGACGATGAACCAGCAACGTGACCTATCAAGATAACATAAACTGTTGTTACGTTACGTTGTAGATGCGTAATGTGCTGCGTAGTGCTACATAAACTCTGTACTTATGATGAGAAACCAATTCGTTTTGGTCAATAGACTTCTGAAGCTTTTACGTCAACAATTTGATTTGCAATGCATTGTGGGATCAGTTTCTGGAAAAAATGCGACCCTTCAAAGTAATGCGTATACGGTACATGTCGTAAAAGCTTGCATTGCGTATACGGTATATTACGTAAAAGCTTGCATTGCGTATACGATATATGACGTAAAAGCTTGCACTGCGTATACGGTATATGACGTAAAAGCTTTGGAAGTCTATTGTTTTGCTTTGTTTAGACAAATAACAAACGTGACTCACCTTCATAAACTAAGGATGACCCTCTTCCAAGGCAATTTCTCGCTCCCCACCTCGTATACACAACGCCTCCCTTCAATCGTGGTTTTTGACCGGTATGTGTAGGAGTTACTCTCATTGATGGGGATACAGATGGTACCATGGGAACAAATCCTGGCGGGCCCATTGGTCCTCTTTTACCTCTACGGCCCTTAATCCCAGGAGGTCCTGGAAGCCCTTGGTCACCTTTTTCACCTCTTGMTCCAGGGGCACCATTTCTGCCTTAACAAAGAGACATGTAATGCAATGGCTAAATTTTACTTTACGTGGTGATTTGCAATGCTTGTTCAGCACATTTCCGCAAAAACCTTACGTAAACGCCTCACGTAAAAGATCATGTAAAAGCCACCGTAAACAAAAAAAAAAACATAGAAAAAAACTTACATTACGTAAAAGTCAGCAAAAATCTTTACGTTACGTAAAATACAGCGTAAATCTTAACGTTACGTAAATCCAGTGTAAATCTTTACGTTTCGTAAAAGACAGCGTAAATCTTTACGTTACGTAAGAGCCAGCGTAAAAAAAGTAAATAAAGGATACTCATACACACCTACCCGGGACGCCAGGCTGACCTACTGGACCGTCTCTGCCTGGAACCCCATCTCTTCCTGGGAATCCATCYCGACCATTAGAGCCAGGCCTACCTGGTAAACACGAGCATTAGGTCAGGATGAAGAGGACATTATTYCACTGGTACGTTTAGCGTACGGTTTTTTATACTATACAATATCGGAAGTTACTGACCGTCTCTCCCAGGGATTCCASGTGGGCCTCGTTGTCCAGGTTCTCCGGTATTCCCCCGTAATCCATCCCGTCCAGGTAGACCTTGAAGACCGGGWGGACCCTGCAAGCAGTATGAGCTTTTTGATACACTTGTGCTGTTGAGAAAACTGCAAGAAAAAATCACCATTTTTGATATGTAAAAACAAAATAAAGCTAGTRACAGGTCTTTCTCCCATTTTACCATACAAAGATTGACCACACAACATCACACACATACTTTAGARACCATTCATACCATTCATAGCACAGAATTAGACTTAAGGTCAAGCTCTGTCTACAAAAGGCAATGAATATTTAAACGAATGTTCTTGATGATGCAATGACGATTTGCAGTTGAAATTCTCGTCATGATTAAGATACTTAAGAGAAAAGTCTAGTAAAAGGTGACGAAATTTRGAAAGGGAAAAAGAAAAATCGAAAAAATCCAAGGTTATTATTACAAAAAGTGTATGCTAGGATCTGAAAGATGTAGTTGTCTGCGAGATAGGTATTCTTTGAAAAGAGTAATTAATGCAAGCRAAGAACACACGAAGCTGTGTTGAAGCTCTCCACAGGAGAAGTTCTTAAGAAGCCGACAAGCAATACTACTTTAAGCAGCTCCCATATGCAGACGGTCCTAAGAAGCATTATAAGATTTCCCTTTTTTGCTTTAGCCTTGAAAAATACCAACATTCAACGTCAAAAAATGTTAGCATCGGTGGAAAAAATCGCACATGAAAGCGGACAACGGATGTATCAAAGACTTAATTTGTGTGTCATTRAATTGACGACTATTTCTCGATTTATGGCCTCCAGACAGATAAAKGTTCATATTTGATGATTCTAATCACTTCATCAGTCAGCATTTTTTTAAACGGGCGGCTGGATTGATRAATTCTTTGGCTGACCTTTCTCCTGCTAGGCAAAACGTGGGGACGGCTTACTGCATGATATCCCAATTTTTGCCGAGGCACTGGCATGGTTAGTGAGAGTTCTATAATTAGTGTCTAAACATTTTTAACGGATTTTACCTGAACGTTCTGTTTCACAGACTCAGAGCTAATAAATCTGTCGTTCACGGATTTCAGTGCTTATACATCTTTTTCAAGGTTTTAACGCTTACACTGTTTCACAAATTTGTTGTTTYTATAGATCTGTTTAAAAGATTGTGTTTCACAGATTTACTGGGTATACATCTGTTTCACGGACTTACATATGATGACAGTTCACTGATTACACATCAAGACATGAAGGACGTCTCTAGACTTAGTAGCCAAATTTAAACATAACTAACCAAAACCACATGTTAGAGATAACCTTATCTTGTGAACAATAGGAAATATAAAGTACAAAATTGTTCTTAATTGCTTTAGATATGTTTTTGTAGTTAGGATTTAAACWTTTTGGACGACCGAAACGATTTTTTTAGACAAGAAAGATGGTCAGATCATGAAACATATCTTGCAAGTTAATCATATAATATTCTATTAGTACAATCATGATAACGTAGCAACAAAATTGTTAATTAGCGAATACGATAACAAATTGAAGGAGGATTCCGAGTGTATCAGCGCTAAAACAAACCATTTTCAGTCGTGTTTTTGAATATGTGTTTTCAAAATTAGTCACTGAATACGAAGATGATGATGATGATGTCATATGATGATGATGAGGACATCGATTTTTTTGAAGACTAAAAAAAAACACCTAGACGAAAAAAATACGTCAATTTTAACCTAAATTAAGTGAAACTTCTAGAAGACTTCAACCTGAATGTATGGCGATAAGGATTTCGCTATCATTTTCTTTTTCAAATAATGAATACACCATTCAAGAAAAAAACTACATACTTGAACAATTTTCAACATAATCTTTCATAGTCTTTTCGTTCGTAATCTATTCACTAACATACCATTTTGGTTATGTTAACTAGATAAATTAAGACAAAAGAATGTCAACTATATGTTTATATAAAGAAAACGTCAATTAAAGTATGCATATATCGACATTTTGATATGATTTTAAACGTTCGCAACGTGATATCGCTTAAATTTGCTGACGGATTTGGTTGTTGTTTTCGTAATACTATTTTGCAAATTTTGTAAATTTGGTTGTAGATTTGAGTTGAATGGATCAATGATCCGCAATGACAAGCTGCAGTACAGGAAAACCCCTTACAAGGCGCATTATTTGTTTATGTTGTTCGTGCATATAATAGTCCATAAAACAGTTACGTTCATAAACGACCGTCAAGAGTAAAATAATAAGTATTCACATTAAGATGAAATCCAATAAAAATGTCTCCTTTACCAACTATTAACGTCATATCGAAAAACTTGATGATTTGAATCATCATAWAAACGCTTACCTCTTTTCCACGTTCTCTAAACGGTCCAAAAGCGAAGCAATGTCCGTGTCAGGGCTCTCAATATTTCTCCTTAGCCGTACATGTTCGTGAGCTCGATTKGTTTCTMGGTTGTCCTCCAACACAGAGTTTTCCTTAAAGACAGATGTTGTACGRAAAACGTTTCCTTTGATTCCACGCGAGCTCAGAAGTCGTTCTAGGGTCTCTATTCTCAGCAGAGCGTCATTGAGACGCCATGACATGCTTGAGTACATAACAAACTGTGTAGCGATATAGCAAGTAAAAACTACCGTCTGGACCAGCCGCCACAACCAGCTTCTCATCCTCACAGCTTCCCTCGGGGTTATTCACGTCTTWTCGTTCGTTTTCAAGGCATTTGAGAAGCTATTTTTGATCAGGCAGGCTAACGTGGCGACGAAGAGCAGATATTCAAGATATTGTCGACCACTAGATGAAGTCGTAATCTAAGTATGCGGTCTGTGCCTTCAAGAGAGCGAACTCTTACGAGCCTACTGACATGTTGTCAACGTAATGATGGGGGATTAAGGGTCGTAAATGTATCGCACAGGGTCCGGTAACAGCCCCGTATAGCATTTTAACCCACGGATAAATTATTTATTAGCTCACGTATAATTTATTTGGCATTGGTACGTGTTGTGTATCGAGCCCGTGCTAAGCCTTGGCAACCAATYGCATCGTTATGAATAATGAGTGGTTTCTAGCTGCTCAATAAAAAACCGGTATCTCATGAATGCCTAATGATCACAATTAAAAATAAATTGATATAAAACTAGTTTAAAAAKTGAATATGATTAGTAATTTATAAACATAGAATTGATATGAAGACGATGAAGACAACAATATTGTCTGTGGGATTATGGACTTTGTTTTTTTGGGCATATATAAATGTAATTCTCTTATGTCTTAAAAATTCTATTACAAGGATTAAGCGATATTGCGCTTGTTAAGGAGCATGACACGTGAGCCACATGCGTGTCTGTCTTTTTGTGTGGGATCCCTGTGGTATTGACAAGACGACGCAGGAATAGTTTTAAGGTCTCTTGCTCGATATTTTTTGTAAAAGAGAGAAGCGTGACTAAGATAGCAGTTAGAAGAGGTATTTTGCACTTGAATGGCCGGTCCAGTAGGTCTCCTTTTTTTATCAGATAACACACTCGCTAACTCACGCGAATATTCCACAAATGTCTTRAATCAAAATGCGTAGGTTTGTTCACGCTATAGCTGCTACTAGAACTGATCGCGCGTGCATGAGTTTATCTCAAATTGTTTTGTGTGTGAAGGATTTTACATTTAATGTGAAATGTTATCGAACTGCRACGAGGAAYATTTGGAGATAATCTACACGCTATGCCATATTTGTCTCTACAGATCTTGATTGCAGAATGGGTTTTGAAGTAGAATCAATCGAGCAACTGATAAAATATCMTAATTAAATACTGATTTAAGATATATCTTTTTAAGTTGTTAATTGATATTTGAGAAATTCATGGGAATCTGTTATTGATTGTTAGTGTTGCAATTGTATACTGACCAAGTATCGGCGTTGGTGGTCGGTTTGTAAAACATGATAAGAAGATAAAAACCTTGGGAATGTCAAAGAAACGAGATGAGAACTGCAGAAGAACAGGATGAGGCTACAGGACGGTCACTGATCAATGAACGAAGGGAAAAGAAGATATATAAAGGAGATAAAGAAATGACAGGTCAAGAAGAACAAGGAGAACTTCAAAAGAGGCATAAGACAAAGGAACAAGAAGAAAAGTAAGCAGTATAAAAAATAGAACAAGACGAACAAAATCAAGGAGAAAGGCAACAAAGAACGTAAGTGGAGAAGAAAAAGCATTAGCAAGTAGACTATACCAAGCAGGCAAAGATTTTCAGAAATTAGAAAGCCGAAAAAGGAAGATCAGTGAGCCGAACAAACACAACCACCACAGCAACAACACGACCTGCATCGGAACAACAACATCAACAACAACAACAATATAACATCAACAACAACATCAACAACAACATCAACAACAACAACATAACAACAACAACAACAAGGAGGAGAAGAAGCTGGCAAATAAGAAGTACAAGTAGAGGAAAATCAAGGAGCAACTGATGAGAAAGAGGAGGCGGAGGAGAGGAAAAATAGAAAAGTACGTAAGGGCAAGAAAAATCAAGAAAGCAGCAGAGAAGGAAGTATGATGGTTTTGCTCAAGCAAAAACATGTCTAATACTACTGACCATCAAAGTTATGTAATTCTGATCTTTATCCATAAACTGAGCAACTAAAACACACATTCCGAAGTACACAGATTTATTTGAAGCATTTAAGACGTTTTCGTCGACAGATTGGGTTGATAGTCTTCTCCATTTTTAGTATTAATTCTTCTTATTGAATAGCGGTATCCCTGTGCTTTACTAAAAAGACGAAAACTCAATTATTTAGTTTTTTGKAAACAGAAATACTGTTTGTAATGTTATGGATGTACCCGTTTTTAGGTCCTTGCTTTCTTTTGGTGCATTATGTTATAAAATTGAACCTTCAAGCGGCCAAATTATTTTGAGCTGTCGTGGAAAACTTTTTCCTTATATGGTAACTATTACCTTATTTGGTCAAATATAATATGACAAGGTTTTGATCATATGGATGCCTTTGCTTTGTGGCAACCACTCTGATAATAAAACAAAGCTTATATTTCTTTTAGTTTTAGAAAGTCTATGGTTTTCTAAAACCATAATGAAATGATTGTTTTTTACTTTGTCTTTCAACATGTTACATTACGTTGATTCGTGATGAGCCGTGTGAGTACAATGGTTACTGTACAGAGGTATGGCCACGATGCTTCCAGTTAATRCAGTTTAAACAACGATGACGCTCGGTATGCGCATGCCTAAGTAGTCAGCGGTATACTCATAACCATCACTTCTTACTATAGTGCAATTGCAACAACGATGACTTTGGATCAGTGTTMTCATTGCCATTGACTTCCGGTGAGTGATTGCTTCCGGTGATGACGTCACTTCCGGGTCCTCTCTCTCCATTTCTCCATAASAAAAACAGTGCCCGCTACGCTGGTGTGCTATTTTATCCGATTAAATAAGATCATAATCCAACGAATTCATAAACGTTGGTCGACTCCAAAAGAAAACGCGAGGGGCACGACACCGCTGTCACGTCGTACAGACGGCACAAGCCAATGCTTTCCTCGGTTGCAGTCTGCCGCATCGAGACGAGCCACATTTGTACTCCGTTAAATGTAACAATGAGTCTGCATTCTTGTTSGCAGTATTCGGAATCCCTCTAGCGTCGACATCAACACATATCAACTCGGATTTCTCCGAGTTATGTTTCTGAGACATTAGATAACCATGGTATTGCCTGTCCCATGTGGGAGGYCAAACATTATACGCTGGAATCATGAGCGCGGCAGTTGCGCCATCAACCCTACATACTGCGCATGGCACATCTTTGTAGTCGAGRGTGTAGTTCAGAAGCTTTCGTTTCTCCTCTGGAAGACGCTGTAAACGAGCTCTATCAGCAAACATGTTAAACACTTTAGTAACTGGACCGAACTTTACTGGGTATAGGAATCCTCGGTCGGCATTGCTTATATCTACAAGACTAGTATACAATGCTTTGTCCGGCATACATAAATAGTTCGTTCCACCACCCTTGTCCTGGTAGTTGGGTGACGCCACGCGACCTGCAATAAGTTTGATTAAAGTATTAWGTTGTATCGTAATAGGTTAATCATATATGATAGGCCATTTGTATTATGACGTAACTTTACTACAACTACCAGAGAGCCTTGCGCATTTTTATTGTTATTCAGATTTTTAATCGAAGACACGACCGCATTAAATGCTGGTGGATCATGTCCCTTTAAGATCTCCTGTAAAATCCGTTGTCGTTGATTTCCAAGATCAAGTGAATCAAAAGATTTTTATGGGAATTTCATTAAAACAACACTTACGACTATGAAGACGTGTCGGAATCGCAATACGTGCGATTTGTTACTCTCTAGACATATTGTTATCTACCTTTGTATACTAGCGATGTGTGCGACTTGTTACTCGTTCGACATTGTGACGTTCCCCATCGTACAAACACTGTTCGACGACGACTTTTACTRCGTCTCGATCCGCCGTCGTTGGGATGTACTGAATTGTCATCTTTCTGTTTATCTTTTGTTGATGACTGAGTGTTTGGTTTTTGATCTTTCTCGCCTAGAAAAAAAGAGGGATTAAAACTCGTCCTGATGCATTTTCTCCTTTAGGCCCTGGGTCCTGTTAATCTACATGATTCAAGCTTTTTTGTTTTCTTTCCCGGGAAATTTTAATGCAAAAAAGTTTGACCCTACTACCTATGGGCACCAGATCTTTTGTTAAAACAGGGTCTTACAGTCAAAAGACCTGAATCGCACCCCCTCAAAACACCATTATTCAATTCATTATTCGATTCTTAGTCGATTCAACATTACATTGTTAAAATCAAATTTGAATTCAAACTTCGAAGTTTGATTGATTATTGATCAAATTTTCATAAAACCTTCTTCGTATTTCGCTTATAAACATGCTGGTCTTTTGTAATTTCCACAAGTCGATGCATTACGAACTATTCGGGGGGCGCGCTTCATGTCTTTTGACTGTAAAATAGAGTTGAGGAAGGAGACGTGTTACGTCACGGCCGCCATGTTGGATGAAAATAACAAGGCATTCCTCATTAGTGTTTCTTGTTCGTAAATCCAACATGGCGCCGATAGCTTCGTGCGAGTTTTCCCGTTATAGAATGACGATAAAAATAAATTAATGATCACAAATGTTATCTAGGATTTCCATTTTTATTCAAATGTTATATTTCCTATTAATAATTTAMAGTGCATTCATCATCTATCCGTGAAACATTCTGTAAAAGCTATTGCACAAAACTGTATTAATTATAAAACAATGGAGAACAAAGTCTTTTGTACAAATTCACACAAACTGCTGGAAGTGTTGTCCTCGAGGACGGATGTATTCAGTCTYTGAGTCTTAAACTATGAGAATTAACTTGCTGCATGAAGGAAAGTGTAGTGGAGSCCCTAGCATAAGCCAGTCATGTCATAACTGTACATGTTGAGTCACAACGAACGTTCTGTGGTCGTAAAATTGTACATGACAGATTCAACACTGCCACAGKAGAGAAAGTTAAAGAAAACGGCAACAACACAGRTAAGTAACAGTGAATTTAAACTCAGTAAAGACCAATTTTTCWCTATCGAAATAAGCAGAGAAGGGGCAGGACGCAAGGAGCTTCCAGTTAAATATTTCGCTAGTGGAAATCGACCTAAAGTAAGCGCTTACGTCTCGGTKTATTTCGTAAATGAAATCTGTCGAACTGCTGTCTATAAATGCATAAATATTACACGTACAGAGTTCTATAAATGTCTTCCTTTATATACCATTTCGGAATGATGATAGAGTCATTTTCATCCGCCTGTGAAACAATTACTACTAGTCAGTGTTTAATAGTAACTATTAGGGTGTAATAGGCGACCAAAAGTCAAAATCAAAATGACCGTGTTTGCCTAATTGGTTTGTCGCATGTCATAAGTTGAACTATTTGGAGCTATTAGGGGGTAATAGTATTTAATAGTACAATTCCTATTTCACAGACGGATGAAAATGACTCTAGTAACAGTAGCAACGAATATAAAGACAATACTGCCTTAAAAATACAAGCTTCAAATACCTTTTAGCCTTGGACATCTACGTCCTTTGTTGTCAGTGCCATTTATCGATTTAACACACTGAAGACTTAAAGCATAAACGTGTTAAAAATCAAGTGAAAATTGCTGAAATAGGATAGCAAAAACATTTATCAAAATCAAGTGAAAATTGCTGAAATAGGATAGCAAAAACAGTTATTAAAATCAAGTTACGTTCTTGAAGTAGGGGAGAAAAAAATACACAGATGAATAATGAAAACTAGTACAGACCTAGCTTGAGAAAATAATAAGTTATTTATTATTTCGCATTTTTTCCGCTATCTACTATTCTGAATTCCCGCCCTTTTGTTTGATGCCGGCACGCGCGCGTTTCAAGTTTCCCGCGCTTTTTTCATTGATTTTTGAGAATATTAAAWAGTAACGAAAAGGYACTMTTTTTTCTGTAAATTGAAGAAAAAAGTGCATACTTATATCTAGTGATGCATGCGAGTTAAGTACTGAGTTTATGAATAAAACCACYCAGCCAGACAAGGCYGGAATCCCTTTTATGATAACCYTAGAAAAGCAAATATTTAAAAGCCTCAACATCAACACTTCTCGCTACACTAACAATAACCGTTGGTATTTTTATTTCGTGGTTATGGGACTATTATAGAATATATCAACATGTCAATAATTTGTACTGAGTAGATTTGTCGGCATAAAACAAATTATTTTTGCTCGMCTCTAATTGAATGCGACTAGTAGGAGACGAAATTATAATGCCTTGGAGGATTTTTTTAAAAGCAAACAAATTACTTGATAAAAACGCTTTAAAAGTGATAAAATAGACATCAAGATACTGCTCAACCGACTTCAAGGAATGTTTCTTTAGAAGATTGAATTTTTGAAACTGAAAATCACTGACAAGGAAAACAGATTTCTAAGAAATCTCAAAGTTGTCAGATGATTCGGGTTGAGGCTCAAACTTTCTCTCTTTTAAAACATACTTCTTTATTAAAATCCGCTCGAAATAAACCTTAGCGAGGTCCTAAAAAATCTGAGGTTGTCACTTCACTTCAAGTATTAAATGTAACACCCCGCGCCCCGTCCGCTGTATTTTCTCTGCATTTGAAAGCTTTTATAAAGCACTAATACTCAAAAACAGTTCATAAAAGCATTTTCATGTACTATACTACAGAATGAGATTATTTTTGTTATATTGATAGAGAATACWGGAGATTTTTGATATCACGTTTTTGGATATCAAGCTTCACTTGTATTTAGACATTGTATGAGAGATTACGCGCGAATTAATTGAAACGCACTTATGTGATACATTAAAATGTTTTTAGTTACTTTGATTATAGATAAACAAAATTAAAATTGTACAGAACCATATTTTAATTGCTAGATAATACTAAACGAACAGCTACAATCAAAAAAATTATTTCATTATTTAAGCAAAAATTTGGAATAAATTTTGAAATCAGTGTTACTCGGAGAACGACATTATACCATGCGATAGTTGAAAATTTTATTTGACCGCGAATTAACCACTAAAACACCAACCAAAAAAAGAAAAACAAAATAGTTTGCACAAAAACTGTTAGTTTGATGGGTAAGTAAGCCGCCATTGGCGTTGTCTGGCAGACAAACAGAATGCATCACTTAGATTTTTTTTTCTCGTGCGGATTAACGTTAGGTATATAATCGGTAAACATGAGGTCAGTAACCTACGGAAACCACAATGTACTTTAAACAAGGGAATAGAAATACCAAAAATATAAACTCATTGCAATATAAATGGATAAAAAAATAAATAAAATGTTATAGGAGAATTTTAAAGCAAAAGTGACCGGTATACAGTTGAAGTTAAGATYACATGACGTCCAAACCGTTGTTTAATCTCTTTAGAAATATTYTATTAAGCTATAAACTGTCTCTGCAAATGTACGGCTTGCAGCAGACGTTTTTAAAGACTTACAATGATGAATATTTTAAGCCTTTTTCACCTAACACTGTCAAATTTAACGGCATCTTGGAGTACCAAAWAACTGAAGAATGTGTAAAAACCAAAATCACTAAAAGTATATTTGTAGAATTATATATGATCTGATAAAAAAGCTTTTGGAGAAATTTCATGACATTTTTGCGAAAATTTTAAGTTTTGCCATTTTTGAATATGTTCTTTTAAAGTGACTTGGTTTATTTTATAATGAAGGCAGTTTTTCATCCACATTTTGTACCAATTTGGAATAAATTCGGTTTGTTTTTCTTGGTAAAACCGAACGTAAGCTATGAACTTGTAATCAAAATAGCCCAAAAGTCCCACATGTAAGTAATGGCCGACATTGACAATAACACATTCTTACCTCACTATTCAAAACAAGCATCTTTCTCTGAATGTTATAAATTATTCTTTAGCCCCGTCATTAATTCTTTAAAGACTATTTTGATCACAATACAAATATCACTGAAAATAACACCGAAAATCTGCGGTCATCTTGGAATAGTATTCACTAACTGTTCATGGAAGCCAACAATTTTTTTTCTAAAAAAGATGAAAAAATGTACCTTTTTAAACTGACAAGTTTTMCATTAATAAATTGCATACCTTCTCTGGAGCTCGTTAATTTGCTCCTCGAATGTCACTATTGAAGTCTTTAGTCTTTCAACTTCAAGTGAAGTGGTTTGAAAGGATGTATGTAGTTTGTTGTGAAGTGTTGCAAACACCACAATAGCTACTGCTAAGGTAAAAACGACGGCGACTCGTAACATCCAGGGATTTTTAACACTCCAGTAGCTTTTGTCATCTTGAGCGATACCGGAATTGCATCTTCCGCGAAGCGGGACTTTCGGAGTTGGCGAGATAACTTGAAATTTTTCCGATTCAATCAAAGGTTTTGCAGTGTTGTTGGAGCAGTTTACAACTAACTGAGTTTGATTTTTCATCGACATATCGTTAGTCTTATACTCGATGCAATACATTAGCGTTTAACGCGACATTCACGCGATAACAGCGCGATATAAACGCCTCTAGTCGGCCGCAGTGATGCACGCTCATCTCATCCAATCGCTTAAGTTCTTTAAGAAGGCTCTAAGGCATSAAAAACTAAGAACGATCTTCAAATCAATCCGTGCTGCAAACCAATGAGATTAGATATCCCAGGCAAATTAAGGTTTCATCAAGTCTTGAATCATAGAATCGAAACAGGTGCAAATCGACACCCACAAGGCGATTTCGATGCCACGCCCAGTTGGTTTTGGCTACAGAACATGAACAATACAACCGTGAAAACACATTGGTGACACCATTGCACCATGGCTAAGCATCAACTCATCCATAAAAAATTAATATTTTAGGGCCTTTGAATCGGGATCGAACGTTTGATCGATCGAATCTTTGATCACGTTGGAGCCGGAGCGAACACCCGATCAAAACTTCGACTGCATAAACTTTCAAAAAGCTAGGCGAGATTTCCAATATTTTCCACAAAGCTGAGGCTTGTCCTAAGGAAATGTTTGAAAAACTCAAAATCGAAGTAGAATTAACAGAGCATGTATAAAACGCTTTGTGGCCAAGGATCAGCGGAAAATCGGCGGAGGAAAACCAAAAAGTGCGAATAAAGCCTTTTCACCGTCGTCACTATCACTAGCGATTCAGTAAGTTTAAAAAAATAACGTTTTGATCGATTATTAACAATCGAAAACGTTTAAAACCAATAAAAAAACATAGTTTAGGATTGCTTGATAGATAAAAAGTCAATGTAAAATCCACGGAATTTAAARAGTCAATATCAGTTGCATCAAATGGTTTAGTATTACTGAAAAGTCCTCACGGAAAAAGAACAATATTATTCTGGTATAATTGAACTTACATCACAGATATTGTACGCTTTTTCAAGCTATCAAATTTTACCACCGAGTCTAAATGCATTGAAATGGGTTTATCGCGTGATTGTTCTTATACACAAATTCTTCGCAGRATTGAAATGGTTTAACGGCAAAAGTACATAATCTCAAAAAAGGTTTTTTTATTTTACTGAAGAAAACTCCAGGGTTTTATACACATAAAAATTGCTGAGATCATATATTTRAACCGTTGTTAATAATCGCAGAAGGGTCGTGATTTGCGAAAAACGCTCCCGCGGTCTGCGAGGTGGCTCAGAACACTCTAATGGCTTTCTAGACATTGAAATGTCTTGAGGGCAAATTTCGATCAAACGTTCTATTTGTCGTCGTAGAATGTAATTTTCGGTAAATAAAATGTACAAGAAAAACTCACTTCAAAACCGCCTGCGTCATTAAATTCGAATTATAATAAAATGAAACAACTTTTGAAAAACTATACCATTAARATGAAACYCGTCTATTTCTCTCGAAGTTCGATWGTCATGTTTTCCGAAGTTGATTCTATCCTTTGAATTCATGTCTAGCGGGAAGCCTATTTCTCCCAGTAGAAACTCGAGACTTTTCTAATCAAAAGGGAAAAATATAATTCGATTACTCCAAAGCGCACGTAGAGGACAGCGTGACAGACAGCCAAAAAGCGTGGGGGTGAGTCTTATTATTTATACAATTTTTGCCCGAATACAAAGAACGTGAATATCTCCTAGTATTTTTAAATATCATTGAAAAAACTAGTATTTTTAAATATCATTGAAAAAACTGACATATTTTACTAAGGATATGAGAAGAAAATATTTTGGAGAATATAATTTATTTTCGTATTTTAGTACGGATTCGTATTAAAATTTTCGTATTCAAACGGTTTATAATACCATATATTATTAATCAGATTAATATTCAGTGCCAAATCGATAAAAAGAAAGAAAGATAAAACGATTCTATACCCCACCGTTAGCTCATCAGTAGATCACGTGCGCAAGCATGCGCTATATGCAATGATTATGAAGTAAAAAACTTTGGAAACAGAAAACTTCTTTTATATCAATTAAACTCATAAGTTGGATATGTTGGATTAATTTTACTTCTTTTTACGGTTACTCTAACTTTACAGCCGCAAYACTCTAGCGATTTATGCACCAAMCCAGAGAGATTACAAATCGAAAARGCAGSGCTTGTTTTCTTGCTRCCAAATTTCCTTTCTTTATCAGAAGTCAGCCTTACGTCATGTCCGCCTTACAAGTCTTTATCAAGCAGCTGTTTTGATCTCATCGATGATAGCCTTGTGCCTTTTTAACCAGGTTGTACTTAAATCAGATTAGTAAGGATTCTACCGGATCTATAGCAATACTCCGCGTTAAAATGGGAACCATTTAATATCTGTTTGTCCAGTTCAATACTGTTTACAATCTTTACAATTCCCAGTTATTTGGAAAGTTTATTAATTGGCCATATATGGCAACTACTGACGACTTTCCCGRAACATGYCCGTAGGTCATGACTGTCGGTTTGGGGAACTAGTGACGACACACGAAAACGAGGCCTCCAAGGCATGAACACAAAAAGCACCGCGAAAAATCGCACGCGTGGTAGTGTCAAAGTTCGAGAGGTGTATGGTATTTTGTTTTCTATAAAAGTATTCCAGAAAGACMCTATTTAAAGGATGAAGGCTAACTTTGAGAAATGGTTTTCTGTTTCGTCCCTAGTCTCTCCCGATCCGCGAAGATAGTGTTAGATCGGCGCCATTTCTGAAAGTATCTGAGACAACATGGTAGGCTATTTTGCTCTGTTTTTGAACAGATACGATAAGCCTTTCGGTCCAGAATTTGTCCAAACATGGCGGGCATGTTGTTTACAAAGACTTTGTTGCAGACTTTGTTTTCGGATTATTAATATTCTCAATTGCGCATTTGCGCAACGCTCACAACTTAAAAAATTGCTTATTTTTATATTTTCTCAAAGCCTTGCCAGATTTAAGTGATTTTTTCTTTCGGATTTCGGCAGTCCACGATATCTGCCTCGTTTGCTGAAAACAAATACACTTTTACAAGCAATCAAGAATAGATTTGCTCTTCACATCGACTTAATGAGACCAATTACCTCTAATGAGATCAAATGGTTCCTAATGAGGTCAAACGCTTTTCAAAGATCACTATCTGGGATCACCTGGTTTAAATATCACTTGTAGTTATCAGCGCCAAGCCCAAAAAAGTTGGAGAACAAGTATTTTGCGGTAAATAAAGTWCGAAGAATCACCTAAACTAATAGGTGATCCGTTTCGTACTCACCCTGTTGGGCTTTTAAAATATTAATATTTATTAAAATATTTGTTTCTCTTGTTTGTTGTTGTTGTTTAGTTTTCCTCGTGAATTTTTTTTTTGTATTTATTGTAATATTTTAACCAATAAAGCTGTAAAAAAGTGACTGATATTTTGGTTCTTATTCTCGATAATTCCGCTTTTCTCTTGATGGAGCCGTTTGCATGAGGAACAGAAGGTGCTTTGATATAGTAGAAATATTTCTTTAAGCTTATTTTTTTGGGGAGAAAAGACAGAAAGC